TAGCAGAAGTGATTTTGCTCTTAGGCCATTTGTCATTTGCTATGCTGTATCATGATTGCAATACGGTTTTCAATGAAAAGACTATATAATCTTGCCTGGTTGTCTTCCTCTATCTATATCTGTCTATATACACATACTGCACATTCTAAGCAGGATTCTATTACTTATTTTTTTTTTTTTACCTTAATAAGGATGGTCATGTCCTCAATGTCCTTTCCGTCCCATTTGTCAAAAGGTGAGAGGAGCTGAAGGCGCTGAGACTCGGGACTGACATCAACTGCCACAGATGATCCATCACCGGGAGGAGCCTACAAAAGGAAAATATAATGATAGTAGTTGTCACCCAGTGGTGAACCCTGATATCAGCAAATTGCAAAAAGAAAAGGAAAGAGGATAAAAAGGAGCAGCAGAAAACATACAATTAGAATGTACATGTAGCAAAGGCCAAAGAATCACTCACTTGGTATGTATCCTCGCCTGGGTCAAATCCACGTAATGGGAGCTCATCTGCGAAGGGATCCTTCAACTTAAACTCCTTGCCATCAGCACCAACCTGATGAAATAAACCAACAAAAAATTAGCACACAGGAAATGGAAAGATATGTTATTAAAGAACACTAATTTTTCCTAAACACAGACCTCTCCTGTCTAATAATGCAATGAAAATAATCTTCAATTATTCAGAATGTAATCAACACAACTGAAAATGAGAAAGCTATATATATACACATACAGTAAGTGAATTGCTCACAAAAACACTTACTAGATAACTGGACAATGTCATGCTGACTATGCTAACCTAATTGCTTCCTTTATCAATAGGCTTTCAATCTTTCCAACACTAAGAATATGCCTAATTAGTAATCCAATTTCCTTGGTCAACATTAAATAGTTTTTCCTAATTTCACTGACACAACTGAATCTAAAAAAAAAAAAATAAATAAATAAATAAATAAAAAATAAAAATAAAGAACCCAAACTTTGCAGGCTCTTGGGACAGTTGGTAAACACTGACTTGTATCTTCAATCTTTCATCAAATTCATAAAAACAATCAAATACAGTAAATCTGCTTACCAAGGTGTCATTCCTGGGGTCGAAGTCCAGCCTACCGGCAAGTGACATGGCTGTTACAAGTTCTGGGGAGGTGACAAAGGCATGGGTGGCTGGGTTGGCATCATTACGTCCAATGAAGTTACGGTTGTAGGAGGTGACAATGGTGTTCTTATCTCCTTTCTTCACGTCTTGGCGGTCCCACTGCCCAATGCAGGGTCCACAAGCGTTGGCCAGAACTGTGCCACCAAACTCTCGGAGGGTCTCAGCCTGCAGAGGAAATTGTGTAGCTATGAAATGCTGATATTAACATCATACTGCTGCGCACACATTTAGCTATCATAAAAACCAACTCTTCATGACTAGTATGGCTATAGCCATCACGAAATGCTAAAGTGAGCCGAGCAGGAAGTTCACCGGAATCAGTGATGCCCAGTGATTTCTGGTACCGTCATTGTAGGGTAAAAATAATAAGACAGTTTACCATTGGGTATATTAAGAAAAAAAAATTTCATTTGGGACAACTTTCAAATGATGGGCTTCAAATCTTTCCATCACTGAGAATACATTTATTACAGTTCATTTCCCTATCTACCCAAGGTTTCTGATTTGCCTAATTAGCAATATGGAATGCATTATTAATGTAATGTGCTAAATAGCTTTCCAGGACAAACCTCCAAAATTGAAGTACTGGTACCATATTTTCCAGCCTATTTCACATTGCTCATAAAAAATACATCCTTTATAACAAATTAAATACAATGATGTTGGAAAATATGTGAAAACTAGAATATCACAGTGGAATATGGTTGGTTACATGTAAACTAACAAGTTACATAGAAGATTTATGTGAGAAGAGTATTTGGCATGAATGGAACACTGCCTGAAAGAAAGCTCTACTTACAATGCCATCACGTTCAATAGTGGCACGGATCTGCTCTGAGCCAGGAGTAATGTGGAACAGGGACTTGGCCTTCAGTCCATGATTCATGGCTTGCTTGACAATGGAGGCACAGCGACCCATGTCCTCATAGGATGAGTTGGTGCAGGAGCCAATAAGACCTGCTTTGACCTCAAGGGGCCAACCCTTCTCTCGGGCAGCATCTCCAATCTGTGTGTAGAAAGATAACAGGCATAAATCCCAGCAATTCTAGAATGTAAAATGTACACCTATGTACAGCAGGATTCTATAAAAAGGGGGTTATATATATATAAACAAAAATAAATAAATAAATAAAAAATAAATAATTAAATAAATAAAAAATAAATAAAAAAATAAAATAGTGGAGACAAATAGAAATAACAGACTGGAGACTAGATCAGGATAGATGGAACACTTACAATATTGACAGGGTGGGCCAGATCAGGAGTAAAGGGACCATTAATGTGTGGCTCCAGTTCTGACAGGTTGATCTCCACAATGCGATCATAGGGAGCTCCCTCATCTGGCGTCAGCATGGATGCATTCTCATCAGCCAGCTTGGAAATTTCTTCTCGGTTTGTTGCCTTAAGGTAGTCTCTCATCCTTGAGTTGTATGGGAATACTGATGTAGTTGCACCTTTAAAAAAAAAAAAAAAGGTGTCAGTATCTTTCATAAAATGGGAATTTTGGGGAAAAAGGTAAACATATTACTTTTTTTTTCAAACAAAAAACATAACAATGACATCTTACAAACTTTTATTCTAAAATAAATGTAACACATCTCAATGATTATACCATTGCAAAATGAATATTATAATAATAAACTGCTTGATACAAAGCATTCCATTTTCATATATTTCCAAAGTACTCAATATTGCTTTCCACATACTGTAAAACTTTTATATCTGAGAGAGAGAACAAGGACAGTAGAGGGGGGGGGGGGGGAGAAAGAACGAGAGAGAGGGGAGAGAAAGAACGAGAGAGAGAAAGAGAGAGAGAGAGAGAGAGAGAGAGAGAGAGAGAGAGAGAGAGAGAGAGAGAGAGAGAGAGAGAGAGAGAGAGAGAGAGAGAGAGAGAGAGAGAGGGGGGGGGGGGGGGGGACAAATACACCACTATAAATAATCTCAATCACCACCAGCTGATTTAATTTTGCAACTTAAATTTTTTTGGTAGGTAAAAATTAGAATTCCAAGATCTGTCACTTAAGGGGGGTAGCTGGTTAATATCAAACATCATTAATGATTGGACATATTTCATCTTTATATATATATCATTACACTCAAAATTTGAAGCAATTAACCCATCACTGCCAGGTAACAGAAATCCCTGAGCGTGATAAACTCACAGGGCCAGACACAGGGCATGGGAGTCCACCACATAGAGCGGAACTTCCCGCTCCACGTGCTCTGGCACATCGCCATGCATACAGGCGTACCCCACAGACCAGGCTGTTTATTATGATGCCGGTACATTTGACCCGCCTGAATTGGGTTAAGTGAAACATTGTACAAGCTATAAAGACGAAATAATAAAAAAGTACTATTTCATTCACTACAAATTTTTCATAATGTTTATACAATGATCTTGCATTCTCTATTCAATTTGCTTTTTTTTTTTTATTATTCAATATTTTCAATTTTCAATATTCCTTCATTTTTTTCTTGCTGTGCCACACATACCTTCAATGTTAAACATTGGCACCTTTCCAATGAGACCTCTTTCAAGGAATACAATTGAAGTTATTTCAATTTATAGTGTTTAGAACAACTGAGAAATGAGATCAACAAATTTTGTTCCTTTACCTACACAAGTCACTGCATGACGCCAAATAGTCTAAATTTGCATCATTTAACCCAATGGTGACAGGTGAAGAAAAAAAAACAAAAAAACTATGCTCTGGTGAACCATGGGAGTACCCCAACTTTGAACGTGGGAGTTCAGTATATCAGGTCGAATGACCGGTTTGCCATGCTTTGGCGCACCACCGCAGCATACAGCCGCACGCCACTTTTCGAGCGGTTTGTTTTCACGCCTATTGGTGTAACCCGTCATGAAAGGGTTAAGCTAAATACTTACGGATGTTTCTATTGCCTTCTGAGTTATGACTAGGCATTATCATAAGATAAATATTCAACCTCACAACAATTTTTAGGATATTTTTTACAATATACATCTTTTTTCTTTTAAGATTTCAACTGGATTATATACTGACGTGTGGTTCAAATATATAAATTATCACATTCTTATCATTTCATCTTTTGTACAATTTACAGTAATTCATAGACAACTCTCCCTCCTAATTGATACCTTGCAATAGATGGCCCTTTACATATTTAGATCCTACAACACTCACTTCACTCAAAACAATTTTTTTCATGAATGTAACTGTTTGAATTCTTTCTTTTAACTTTTGAATTATAATCCATGCAACATTATTTTTCAGATCATATACTTGTCTTAACATGCCAAATTTTCAGGAGAATGCATCTAGAATAGTTCAGAACTTGATCCCATGTGGTAAATTTAGTGTTCTTGTTTAAAGCAAGACAAACTTGATACAATTTGAGATACCTACTTGACTACAGTCATCTTTTCTCTGTTAAAACCCTCTGGACCTATGACAAAGACATCACAACATGTGGAGTAATGCAAAAACAATTGCTATAAACTGTTAATGTAGAACAATGTTTTGCATTGCAGTTTTTATCCACCTATTCAACAATTTTGGTGAACATTTTACACCTCAATAGGATAGAGGAAGGGAAGAAAACCTACTGGTTAAGATATATAGATAGTGTAAAAGAGAGAGGGTAAAGAGAGAGAGAGAGGGTAAAGAGAGAGAGAGAGAGAGAGAGAGAGGGTAAAGAGAGAGAGAGAGAGAGAGAGAGAGAGAGAGAGAGAGAGAGAGAGAGAGGTAGAGAGAGAAGAGAGAGAGAGAGAGAGAGAGAGAGAGAGAGAGAGAGGGTAAGAGAGAAGAGAGAGAGAGAGAGAGAGAGAGAGGGTAAAGAGAGAGAGAGAGAGAGAGAG